CCGCATCGACGGGCAGCGCGGATTTCCCCGCGAAGAAAGAAGGCGCGGGCGGCCGCAGCGGCGGGGGCGCGGGAGGGGCGCTAATGGGCCGGATAACGGCCCCGCCAGCGGCGCCGCCCGCGCATTGGCGCCGACCCGCTAATCGCCCCCTCGCTCACGCCCGCCATCGCCCACGCCCACGCCCCCGCCCCTGGCCCTGAACGGCTGCACGCCCGACCCGGGCGCGGGGAAAGTAGGACAAACAATCGGCCGATTCGGGTCTCCTAGCGCATCAACTGCTAAGGTCATTAGTCTCGTAAGCGTAGTGCATATTATTATCGCGGGGGGGTTGTGGCGATCTTCCTCCGCTGGGTGGTGAGGTCCTGCGTCGATCTACGAGCCAGCTCGCTGGGTTCCTCCCACGAGCGGAGCAAAGGCGCAGCCGGCAGAAGCTCTAAGCTCCCGTATGGGCTCCTGGCATGTGTGGGTGTGTAAGTAAGGAGAGAGGATAGGACAAGAAAGAGGAAGCAGAGATCGCATGCGGACCGTGGCCCGTTTACTAGAGTACTTTCGCATTCCGGCATTCGACTGGTGTTGATCGGAGAAACCACGGAAAACTACTGATCAGAGCAGTTGGCTGCTACAATTCTTCTCTAGACAGTGGCTGAATTCGACCTAGCTATGTAGCTGGCATCTGCCACCGTCGGGACTCGAACCACTACAGGATTCTGACCTCCTGCTCAGAGGCGCTAGAATGACATCAAGCGCTCAGCCACCGAAGTCGGTGTGGCCAAACAAGTTGTTTAATGCTCAGGCTCTATAAATTGTGTGGGTCCACTGACACACACCCTGTTCGAAATACGCTGTGGTGAACGGAATTTTTGAATTTGATACCACTTGGGCTCCCAAGTGATTTTCACTCTCATATACGCCCCCCCCCCCTAGTTTTCGTACCCTGTCTGAACGAATATGGGATCTGATTAGCACAAAAACTATTAAAGGATTTAATTTTGCCATCTCTTGATCCACGATTTTTTTACACCAGCGTGGCATGGAACAATGAGGATTTTCTATCCTTTGAAAATCGACCCTCCACAGACGGGTCCGTGATTTTGAACTCATACAATGGCACAGTGCTGACCCCTTCACCACTGAGGTAGATTTGATGGTTGACTGTGACTGGATTCTTCCTTCAGAATGATTGCGTAAGTATGATACTTACAGCAAAAATATGGTAAATAATTTCCGCTAACGTTTCGGCTAAATATCACTATGCGATGTCTAATTCACGCTCAGTCTCGGCTGTCACTATGTTCTTGATAAATTGTTGAACAGGGCCTTGGCCCTTTAAAACAAAATCATTTTTTGGCCTCCTTCAGAAATATTCTCCTGATTTTCTAAAAAAACACGCAATATAAAATATATCCTTTTTAACACGCTAGACTATTTCATAAAAAAAGTATTTTGAAGATAAAAACTTCGACGAGTTTGAACCTCGATGAATACTTTAAAATATGGACAAGAGTTCTGAATTTAAAAAACGAAACATCGTATCACTATTTACTTTATTTAAACTAGACACCCTTCTTAACCTGATTACTACCATTTACAATGAAGATAACGACTTTACATTTTGAACAAGGTGTTGAATCAGACTGATTTATGAGTTGTGCTTGTTTGTAAAGGATTTTTATTTCAGACGCAATTTTAGTTATTAAGTTTTTCGTCTCGTTATAAATAGTGCAAGACTGTATTACAAATTAAAAATATTTAAAAAATTATTTAATTTTTTCTAAACAAGTAAAAGACATTAGTTTTATGTGATTAAACAGACAATAACTTATTTCTTTTAAAACACATTGATATATGTTTATTTGTTCACAGGTTTATTATGTAATTTCGGAATGTAAACAAAATTTATCACCTCCAAAATTTCAATTTCAGCATTCTATGCGAACGTGAACGACGCCGATTGGCTATTAGATCAGCGTGAATATTACTCGAGAGATCGAGTTGGGCATTCACAACGGAAAACGAATTCATCCACACGAGCACACTCTTTAATTATGCGTTCGTTCATTAACACAGACAATGAACCGTGCGCACTTTTATACTCCGGGAGTGGGACGATGTGTGTGACAGGTGGGGCAGTATGAATGCGCCCCTACCTACCTGCTGTGATTCTAACACAACCACACAAATTCGTGAACTCATTATTGCGTCTTCAAAACAGAAGTAAAAAGGACCTTTAGCTGTAAACCACCAAATATTTGGAACAACATTGATAATATGATGTTTGATTCCACACTCGATCGTACTATTTGGATGAAATAGGTAAATAATAAATAATCATCATAATATCATTCAAAAATAAATAAATAACAGGTATCCTTATAAACACAGCAGTTAAATTCAATCTCTATGAACTTGTAGTCAATTCAGAATTGAGCGAGATAAATATTTTTCTTGTGAAGTTATCGGCTATTAGATACTATTGGAACCATTATATTAAAATTTTCATTCAGAAGGTTTACGGGAGACATTCCCCGTCGGGAAAATCATGTATTCTTTCTGACGAAGTAAAACAAGATAAACTCACGTAAATTAGAATTGGATGATTGCACAAAGAGCCATTCTTGACTGTGCGCAACCTTTGTCACTAACCCATTAACTAAATTCTCCAAGCAAACTTACAATTTTACTCTCGAAATATTACTTTTAAACCTGTCAGTACCTAAACGCCCTGAGGACATAATTTAATGTTATTCCCTGAATGAACGGTCGTGACTTCCTCCAAATACTATGTATAGATCCACCCATGGTTTGCATATTCCTTAATTCCAAACCCTGTCTATTACACGGAACTTTTTTTGTGTGCTCGAAAGAACGAAAGGAATTTCCGATTCGTCTGACTCACTATGCGTCACCTAAACCCCCATCGAGCGATCATCACGAATGTGCAGAATGGAACCACAAGGGAAATGGCTGCGAAAAGAACTGAGTCACTTCAAGTTCCTGGGATTCGGTCGTTCATTTTGTGGCACCACAAAATGACTTTGTTCACAAGCGGGCGCTGACCCCACGTCATTACTTACAATGTGGAATGCACGCATTTCCATTACACGACTAAACAATCGTGAGGTTTCTAAACATGGCGAAATTCGGGCTAGAGACTCTTCGGAAATATTAAACGTCTCAACGTTATGTTCAGGTAAATTAGATTTCATGCTGCTCTTCTGCAGTGATCTACAGGCGAAGTAGAAGCTCTAATCATTCCTTGAATGTTCTTTACTGCAGCACTAGTACCCATGTGGAGGTAAGACTGTTTCCACGGTGCTATAGAGAAGTCGTCGGAAGAATATTTCATTCTTCAAAATGCACAGCTTCTACACAATTAAAATATACTAACACGTCTTCACTATGCGTTACGACAAGCGTACTATTCATCAAATCATGTTTTAGATGCAATTCCTCTGAACTCATTTTATGGATTCCCACAGATCATTTCCCGTCAGAATTGCCACAACTCATTTTATATTTCTTTTGTTATCGAAAGCTGATTTGGAATGTCTAACCTTCCTTGTGTACGAAAATTTCCGGCAAACAAAATAAAAAGTAAATTAAATCTTTAAAAAATTGAACTACGAAGAAACTATTAATGCAAATGTACAAATTACTTTAAAACTTTCCCGCATGTTTTTGCAAAATAGTTCACATACACGGTTTCTCTCATAAGGACAGAGTGCTAACCTTATCAAACTCCCGTATGCAGCAGCTGCAGCACAACAGAGGCTTTGGGAGACGCTTAGAAATAGCCTCCGCCTACAGATACGAGAGGAACGAGAGGATACGAGAGAACCCTGCTGGAGAGGCCTGCCGAGTCCCAAGGGAAGGGATAAAAATTATCTCTCGAGTTCAAAACTTAAATTAGAATCGTCACGAAGAATGTGTAGGAGTGGAGTTCGCAGGCCACAACTACCTGGAAGCTTTGCCTGAAAGATGCTTGAAGAAGAGACAGCTCGCATCAGAATTACATTAGCAGTGCCATTAGTATTTCCACCCCAATATTATACCTTTTTAACAAAGAAAGACAAGACGAACAAATTATATATCACATAAAGCTAAGAGTACAACTTGAATGTAGCTTTCAGACATTAAGTGTATATTAAAAAATAATTTAAAAAAACTGTCTTTGTGAGAGGAATTAAATGCAAAGAAAATCTTAAAGAAAAAAATTATATAAACTTTCCAATTAAAACTACATGCTTTATTTTCTTATTATTCAAAAATATTCACCAGAACCACGAGAACTCGAACATCTATAATTCAATTCTTTTCAAATCTCAAATTTGGTTCATTATCATTTGCTGGTTAGTTTCTCAAAATTCGATAACACGAAATATTGTTTAAAAATTCCTTTGGAATTGAAGTACCAATATTCAGTGTACAATATTTGACACTTTTCCTCGCACATAGACAGTAAATATGTCCCACTCGCACGGCGCTGCCGAGAAGATGGGATTAAAACTTAGGCAGACTAAGCGTGGACTTAGAACCCCAGCTGGATAAAGGGCCAGAATAATATTTTTCAGAAAAAATAATATTAGTTCTTGAATTAAATATTTTGATACAAAATTATCAAAATAATGAGTTTAATTAACATTAAAAATACATGATGTATGTTTGAAAAAAATTTGGTAGAAATTTATTTCGAACGAAACTATTTAAAAAAATATTAGTTTTGCATTAGCCCTGAGCCGAGGAGGCAGCCTTGAGGAACGCCCACGACGCCCCCAATCCCGGGCCTCAAAACACGAATGAATTTATTATTTGAATTATCTGAAGGTTCGATCATCATTTCCCCCCTGCTTTTGGTTTGCCGCCCGGCCTCACCTGGGCTGCACGTTCTCGTAGATGGGCTGGTGCGGGGGCTGGTGCGGGGGCAGCGGCAGGTGCAGCGGGGCGCTGGCGGGGCGCGCGGGGCGGGCGTAGCGCGCGGGCAGGGACGCGTAGCGCACGTCGCGCCGGCTGCGCACGAACAGCGCCGCGGCGCCCTGCTCGGGGCCGTCGGGGGCGCCCCGCAAGGCCGCCTGGCCCGGCCCGCGCCCGCCCGCCGCCGCCGCCGCCGCCGGCGACAGCTCGCGCCGCAGCCGCTGCAAGCGCTCCTCCAGCGCGCGCGGGCTCTCGCCGCCAGGGGACGCCGCCTGCGCACACACACCGCGCTCTTCAATCACGCCCTTTTGAGGAGCAAATAAAAGCCTAGCGATCATCATCAGAGCTCATCCTGCAGCGTCTGGGCGGGAAACGATGTTCTGCCTGAGGGTGTGTGTTGCTAGTTGCTTTTTTTGTGGCAGGGGTATAATACGACGATGACATACGTCACCGTAAAAATCTGGGTAGAGCCAATATACATTTAAATCAATTCAATTATACTTTATTTTACGCAAGAAACCTCAAGACATCAGGCTCTCCCTTCCGTCTGTCCATGAAAATTTCCTTACGTTCTTTTCCAAGAAGAAAGTATCTCTAAACAGGCAATAAAACAGACAATTTAAATAGAGGTTTCTTTTAGGCTCGCGGATATTAAACATGCATTAAATCTACTATTTGTGGCAGCCGGCTTTAACTCTCCCCTGAAGCAAGACATACGAAGAATTTTTCGTACTTAAAAATCAAAGATTGGATGTCGTTGAAACCATTACTTCGTAAGTAACGGAGTGTTGAACTATCACGGAGAAAAATATTGAAGTTGTAGAAATGGGTTTTTTGAGAAGAATCTCCGCGGTATCCACACTTGAACATATCTCCAATGAAGAATGAAATAAGACAAAGACCTGACAATCATAGAAGAGGGTTATTTAAGCCGTTCTCGCCTATTCACAGCAACATTCCATGTATCATTAGGGTTAATAAACAGACTCAGATGGTATGGTACAAACTTCTAGGTCATGAAGACGAGTCGAAACTGTTCAGGTTTCGCCAATGAACACTACTGGGAAATCGCATATAACGGAGCTACACATGGAAGATTTGCTTCTTATTGTTGAAAAACTTATTCACAGGGCTCTAAGAGATGAGATGTACCTATTGAACACCTGATCATACGAAAATGTCTACCAATAGGAGCAAATGTCACATGTGTCCCTTCGTTACATGAAATTACTCAATATATTAATCAATGAAAAGAGGTCATTTTCGACCTCTAGGTAATCCCTAGAAGTTTGTAATATTTATTCTGAGACACCAGTTTGTCTGACTACTTAAATGGGAATGGGAGTTTCGCACTCCAACACAACCGTGATCGTTCTTTTAATTAGTGTGTTCTGAAAATCTTAATAAACGCGGAGGTTATCTATTCCACTCCGAGTTCCAAGAGACCGAAATCGGATTCCGCCATAAAAATGAATATTTGTGTAGCTCCAATTCGTGACTTTTTATCTCCTTCGAATTCTATGACTGAATGGTCACTTTAACCACGAGGAGAACGGACTGCGGCGTAGTAATGCGACACGTGCCAAACAGATTTCAAGACAATTCTATTTTAGAAACATTCTCTAGAAGTGAAGGAAATTCATCGGTGGCATCCATATACCACAAATGACCCGCAGTACGTTTTTAATTGGACGACGTCGGCACAGTTGCAACTAAATTACCTCTTCCACGCCCGCTCTTCTCCGTTTTCAAGCAGTTCAGGCAAAATCCCATGACGCAACAGGGATGCAGCTCTCGGAATTCAACGCTAATGAATGATCCGAGGAACACCCTCAGGGAGCATTAAGAATAAACGGCGTTGGCTGGAAACAACTAAGTGAGCAATTCATCCCCGGCCTCCCTCTTCTATTAAAGGGCATAGGATAGTTACTTAAATAAGCTAGATACTGAAGGTAACAGAGTGCGGTAACACAAGTGCAAGGGTGCAACTAAAGCTTCGTAGATGAAGAGGTCCTACGTTCGTGTCAACATCCGAAATGTAGCTGGAACGAAACGGGTCACTGCTTGGGTGCCAATACTAGAGGTTGAATATTTTGATCGGTCGTTTCCTGGAATATTCTCTGATCACATCTAAGCAGATGTTGGTGAAGTGCCTTCTACAATGGGTCACAGATTCTTCATTCTGTATCCAGTCGTCATTCGCATCCCTTAGGTCGAGTGATAGGCCGATCACCCATCCTTATATGATCTATCTCCAATTGGCCGCGAAATTCTCCGATGTCAGACATTTGGATTACAGAAACCAACAGCGAGTTTCCCGCAGTCTCAGACTAAGAGTTACAATCATCTAGGATGTGTATGATTGACATCGTGCCTTTTCTTGGACGTTTTTCCATGACAGCAAAATACGCACGAAAAGGGGGAGGTTGAAGACTTGGTTATTTTTTCGAGGGGTCAATACAGCAACAGACCTGAAAACTAGTTTCTGTATAGTGCCTTGAGGAAGTTGCTGCTGGTTACCACGTCCCGGGTCTTCAACGCTCGTAGTAGATTTTCCCGATCAATTGAAGAAAGACTAGTACATTTTTTGCAACAAAAAAAGACTTCAAGCAAGAATTTTAGGAAAAGCTGACAAGGTGCCTTTTCTTAGCGAGTTTTTCAAGATGGCTGAAAACGCAGGAGGAAAGAAGTGCGAAAACTGGCATTTTTTACAAGGCGGTAATGCAAAATGAAAATTATTCCACCTTTTGCAATCCAAACGATGTATGTACTCGACGAGGGATAAAAGTGCTTCGGTGTTCGATAGATATAGAAAATATCTGACTGCGACAAAACGTGACCTACCAACACCAGTGTATAATAAAATAGACGTCATGAGTAATTGATTCATGTGTAACTTTGTTATATGAAATTTCTCACTACATGTTAAATGGCAGAAAATGGCCATCTTTGTCTTCCCTACAAACCTTACAAGTCGTAACATATATTCTGAGACCCCGATATGCATGTGGATGACCGAGATAATAAAAAAAGGGATTAAAACATAATATAAAAAGATGTTGCATTTTGTAACACAAGATTTCGTCTCAGAAAAAATGGTTAAATGAAGATATTGCAATGCTTATACTATACTAAAGAAAATCAATTCTACCACGTCATGATCAACATTTTCATTATCTCTCCACTACACACTCTGGTCTTGCCTCTCCTGTGCCCATTTCTGCCAACTAATAGCAATCTATCAAAACTAACATCTATTTTTTAAAGAAGAGTTTGAGGTTGTGACTACAAAGGGGGAAAGACCTCAAAGAAGGGCAAAGGCGCATCTAAATAAATTGTCAACGCTATAGTAGTATAATAAAGTTAACAAACAACGGGGCGATACGATTTCAGTGCAGCTCCAGCTTTTGTTTTGAGAGTGTCTCACCTGCAGTTTTGGCGACGCCTGCTCCCGAGAAGACGCCTGCAGGCGCGGGGAGCCCTGCAGCACAGCGAGCGACGCCGGGCGCGGCGAGGCCTGCGGCGGGGACGCCTGCGGCGGCGACGCCTGCGGCGGGGACGCCTGCGAGGACGCCTGCGACGGGGACGTCTGCGGCGTCGACGCCTGCGGAGCACACGCGCGTCATCGCCTTGCCTCCTCCTCTCAGTACACTTACGCAACACGTCATTTGTTTCGTAGGGTTCTTAGGGACTGCCAGTAACCCTTTGCATATTCGACCGTACATTAGGCACCGACACTGCCATCCTTTGCGGCTCCTCTGATCTGGTGTCATCAGAAGGTGAGGGCCTTCGCGACAACACATACATGAGAGACAACGGACAAACAACCATGCCACATGCAGGACTCGAACCCGGAACCCTTCCGACCGAAGCGCTGAGTCGGTACGCGTTCTTAGTCCCCCGACCATCCAGGTCGGAATTCAAGACGTATGCGTCGATTACAACAGAAAGTCCCTTCAAGGTGACTGAAGTGAAAAGAAGGTGACACGCTCATCCAACCGGGAGCATCAATACCAAAACTTTATGTCATAACGAAGCTCGCGATTGGCGACAGTGTCCCCCTCGCTTGGCAACTCGTGACTTTGAGGGGACTTTCTGTTTTAAGCGGACGATAGTTCACTTCATATTTGGTCACAGATTTCCGTGACACACGTTGATCCCACGTATGACAAATGTCTCAATTCGCGGTGATTAAGCAAGAAAATAGTGCTGTATCTGCTACAATAAAGGTTTTTCAATGAACTTGGGTTTTGTTTTTGAAGGCGACCTCCGGAAACTTACTTTCTGAATGCGCCTCGTATTACCTGACCAACGAACTCTCAAACGCATTAATTCACAGAGTTTGTAGTGAGACGATCTCGCATTTACGTAATGGATTGTAACTTCCCTCCCCTTCCCTAAATGTTTATAAACTATACTGCTCAAAATGGAAGTTTGAGATTGGTAGTCGAGAGGCTATTCTCTGAAGCCCACTTGCGAAGAAGTCGGGTTGGGGATACTATGGCAGCGCCCGCCGACCTGCACGGCTAATGGAGAACGCAAACACCACACGAACGAAGGGGTTTTGGGCGTGGGCAGTGGCATCGACTCGAATGAAACTTAAGAGGCTGATAGAGCGTAAGAGATTATTAAGATTTACCATAAAGCTTTCTTGCCGGGGAAGAAACACTTCCTACAACGCGATAGACTGTGCAACACTTTTCCACTTGTGCGCTAGTTGTCCATACCAAAGGAAGATATTCCGAAGTGCACTTTTTTACATTAAATGTGTAGAAATGCACATACCTGTCGCGGAGACACTCGCAGCGGCGACGTCTGCTGCATGAGCAGCAGTTGGTGCTGAAGGGGCTGGTGCTGGAGCTGCTGATGGCTGTGAGGCTGGTGCTGGTAGGGCTGGCGCTGGTGCTGGTGCGGCGGAGGCGTGGGCGGCGAGGGCGAGGGAGCCTGCAGCTGCACGGGCCGCAGCGGCTGCGGGTGGTGCACGTGGTGCGGGTGGTGCTGGTGCAGCGCTCGTTCGCGCCCGGGGCTCACGCTCTTGGAGCGACGGGACAGGTTAGCCTGAGAAAAGGGGCGGAGTCAATTGCGACTTGCCTTGCAACTTGACAAAGGAACGCAAACAAAACCCAATTGCTAAGTGTAGAAATATAAGTGCTTAGATTATTTTTGACGGGAGAATAGAAAATTAATTCGGTGGGAACGCAGTTTGTGAATCGATTCGTTCACGCGCGCTGTCGATTCCGAGACTGAGTCACTCGCGGCGCGGCCAAAGCACCTTCCGGCGGAGAGTGACGCTTCGCAATGCAGTTGCAAGTTGAGGAAGAGGCTCTCGTGTTAACATAAAATATCCTGGAATCTGTCCAACGCATATTTACCTATGCATTTTATGTGAATACACCTTGCAAATAATTTGACGCGTACATTTTTTGCCTCCAGTTCGTCCTACAAGATTATTCCAACATTTATACTCGCGTGTGAACAAATCGTAAGCATCCGCTCACATGAACGAATCTTCTCTAATTCTTCAATATTACATAATTAATAGTGAAACTCTATTTTTGTGTGTATTTTAATTTTTAAAGTTTCAAGTTTGACGTGTTGTGAATGTACCTTGGTTGCTAGAGGTGAGGAAGTTAATGAAAAGTTTCCTTGAATTGGCTGAGCAGGAGATGGCAATGTCTTACGGAAGGTAGTGGTTTGGAATTCATAACTTGAAAATGTATTAGAATCTGTGATATGTATAATTTTGGTTGCAAATAATGATCCTGTAGTTTTTGCTCATAACTGGCGCGTGCAGATAAAATCTAAAAATCAAACTAAAACTAACGTAGATAAAACCAACAAGGTGGATACTGAACTCCATTTGTACTCGAATGTATTTAAGACTCTTCTAGAGACACCTTAATACAAATAAATTGTGTTTGTTTTGGAAAGAACTGAGTCAATTAATTTGTTGAACGAAAACATTACTTTCTGGCCGATGTAAACCGTTTGAACATTCAAGTATATTTTTTGAATGTAGAATCCTATCGTTTGAATCGCGGTGGATATTGCAGTCATGGCCTGCAGTTCAGAAAGACGTAACAAAGACACGATATTAGATTTAGTAAAAACGCATCAAACGTAACGACGTCAACTCACAGAATGATTCCATAATCGGGCATCTGTGTGTAAGATCTCTCTAATTTTTCTAAATGATGCAATACGTCGTAACAATACGCCAGCACAATGGGTTTTATTTGATTATCAATTTAATGTAATGTTAAAAAGAGTAAAACTGTGACGTGATGAGTTGCGAAAGGGCTACTTTTGATTACTAAGAACAAACGTACGGGTACACAGCATTGTTACAAGTACACATAATTATCCGAAATGAGATTCCCGATCGGGATTTGGCGCTGCTACAGAACGATACTGCAAGCAAATAAGATCGAGGACACACAGACGAGACAACAGGGGAGGGGTAGGAAAGCTGGGACTGCAACAACTTTGTCTTGATAGCGAAAAATCATGTCTAGAATCCTCACATGAGAGATGCTGTCCAGAGAGGGGATTCGCGATCCACTGAGACCCCGTCATACATCGTAGAACTATTTTAAAAAAATAGAACCGCAGAAGTATTCAAAAAATCTAATATCAAATGTTCATGTCAATAAAACTACACTTCTTACAATACAAACAGTACAGAAGAGTTTCTTCAAACTAGAAAAAACTCAATTAATTTAGACATGGAGATATCCGAAAATAATCATACTGAAATTTGAGATTAAGAAACTAGTTCTGTATTGACTGAAAATGCTTTCTGATGTACGCTCCCAATTAGCTTAATGTAAAGTACGCAATAAAGTAAACAAGAACATTAATAAGTTTTAATTTTTCTACGAAGTATTTGGATGCAAATTGACTAAGATGTTGGACAGAGCAGGTGTATATTTGTATAACCAGATTAATGTATTTTGTTTCCGTGTCTGATCCATTCATTTTCTTCCAAAAACATGCATTACTCATGGGTATTTTGAATTACCAAGTGAGAGGAAAAGAGTACTTCGACAACCATTTAGGCAGCGAACTAACGCATTAATATACAATTACGAAGTTTTCGATATAATTACGTCCCAGAAACGTGCACTTTATCCACCAGGTTTTCCAAAAGAACAGTGCGTCAGCGAATCCTTGGTCAACGTCCCAAGTCTGAGTAGAGAAGTCTGAATAAGTAAAAGGGATGCGTTGGAACTGTAGATCACAAATTCTACAACATATCTCATTCGTGGCCCTGAAAATGATCTGTAAATTGCTTTCAGCCTCTCGAGAGAGACACGAGGGAAGTTGTTCATCTCCAGGCGCAATAAAAGAAGGCAGTGATCTCAATACAGGGTAGCTTTGTCCCAGGGGGGGGCGCAGTGTAAACTTTCCCGCACTCGCTCCATCATTGTGGCCTGGGTCGAGCCCCAGCAGCTTAAGGCTAAATGCACCGAGAAATACTTGTAGGAAAATTCAATAGATCGCAGCTCTATCACAGGGGAAATTACTTTACTGATAACGTCTGAAACAATGGTCCGATTGTCGATTTGTAAACGGCATTTGACGCCTTTTTAAAAAAGTATTTACGCTACGATGACCTTTATCAAAAAATCAAGCAAAAACGCGAATTTGAAATTAGTTCTGAAACTTCCGAGAACAAATTTAAAAATGTGGCTTTATAATGCAATGGCGACATGCTTCCTGAATCCAACGCCGTGACAATCATGCAAATCGGACTAATAGGAGCGTCGTAAAGTGAAATTTACGAAAACACCTCACCCACTTCCCCTTCTGCGCCATTGCGTCACCCACCCGCCCGTTGTGGGCCGTCAGCGCGTTAGCACGGCCAGGCCCGGCGACGTGCGGCCAGCCCCGACGGAAGAAGCGGTACTTGCGGGACACGCAAGTCACACACTCGGTTTATGCGTTCGTCACTTTGCATCTCAATCTATTTTTCCACGGATTTCAAACTAGAGATTCTGTACTACTATTACAGACCGAGGTAAACGGTCACTAATAGTAGTACATAACTATCTTTTTCACATATTTCCGTCTTCCTTCCAACACCATTTAAAATTTTTTTGATGCATTACTCAAAATATTGATTCCGATTTTTAACTATTTTTTAAAAAAAGGAAATAAGTGTGTAAATAACCGCATTCTTCCATCTCCTGACATCTTATTTTAGGTATACTTTACTTCTAAGGTCTTCTGTTATCACTCCACCTTGGTCTAAGATCTTCCGTTGTCAAATACCGTAAAAAATGAGCGGAGTATACGCACGAGGTCTTTTATCCTACAACTCGATTTCTGATCTCAAATCGACGTTTATCTGCTTTAAAGAGTGCATCTGGTGAATCTCTTTTCCCACGTAAAACGACCGAAGCAAATTTTAAAAACGTTTTCGTACTTTCGGACAAATTTTAAAAAATGGATTATCTTGGCTCTAATGATTCATACTATCTTATTTCGATGCTTGTCACGGCGTTTGAGTCAGGATACAGCTCGCGAAACCGTTATTTTACCAGTTTTTTTTTTAAATTTGAAGTCGTAGGCTTCCTCGGCCAGGTCATGTGCATGATCTTGGCTGTCCGGGTGATGTCGCGTCGAAAGCTGTTTTAGGTTCTATGATCCATGATCCAGCCAACCACATTCTTGTTGAGCCAACGAATATCCTTCTTGAACAAACAATGATCCTTGTTAAGCCTACCTTGATTCTATTAAGCAACTAAGATACTTGTTAAGCCAACCATAATTCATAAGTGGAAGATCAATCCAGCAATCGATCAAGTAGGGGATCGACCCAGCAAGTCGATCAAGTGGTTGATCGACCCAGCAAGTCGATCAAGTGGTTGATCGACTCAGCAAGTCGAAGAAGTGGGGGATCGTCCAAGCAAGCCGAACAAGTGGGAGAACGACCCAGCAAATCGATCAAGTGGGGGATCGACCCAGCACCTCGATCAAGTAGGGGATCGACCAAGCAACCCGATCAAGTGGGGGATCGACCCAGCAACCAGATCAAGTGGGGGATCGACCCAGCAAGTCGAATAAGTGGGCAATCGACCCAGCAAGTCGATCATGTGGGGCATCGACACAGCGAGTCGATCAAGTGGGGGATCCAACCAGTAAGTCGATCAAGGGGATATCGACCCAGCAAATCGATCAAGTGGGGAATCGCCCCAGCAAATCGATCAAGAGTGGGATCGCCCCAGCAAGTCAATCAAGTTGGTGATCGACCCAGCAAGTCGAACACGTGGGGGATCGTCCGAGCAAGCCGAACAAGTGGGGGGATCGACCCAGCAAATCGATCAA